TTTTCAAGGAACTATGAATTTTCTGCCATATCACGGGGATGTCTCGCAAGGAGTCAGAAGGAAATCCTAAATTGGAGCATAGGTCAATATACACATCAAATGAAAGGTCTTTTTTAGTAGAATACAATGCCGCAAACCACACTTCAAAAGGTTGATCCTGCGCAAAATGGCGGCCGTTCAAAGATTTCTTGAATCCGCCATTTTGAATCTTTGAACGACTGCCATTTTTTACTCAGGCGTTCTTTTGAGCTTGAATTTACGGCATTTTAATCTACTAGTGAAGACCTTTAATTTGATGTGCATATTGACCTATGCTTACGTTAACAATTTTCTTCCGATTCCTAGGGCTGTGCCCCCTGAGGAGTAAGCGTATAATAGACATATAATAGACACATAATGAACAACTGTCATTATTGAGTCGGTTGTCCGTTTGAGTTCAAATTTGCGGCATTATATTCTGCTAGTAAAGACCTTTAATTTGATGTACATGCCAACCTATGCTTCTATTTAAGATTTCCTTCTGACTCCTTGCGGGACGTCCCCATGATATGACAGAAAATTAATAGTTCCTTGAAAAAGTAGATTTTTAGGTGTGGTGTTGATGTACCAAATCTTATTGATTTATCTGTTGTCGTTTAGAAAATATTAAGCCAGTGCGGGATTTTATATACACCCTGTATATCAACACCTCTGGGCACATCAAAAAGAAAAAGTAAATTGGTCCCGGGTCTAGATCTGACTATGAGACCTACGGTAATAGCTCATTCTCTATATGATAAATTTGCTAAGAGATGCTTTCTCAGTCTATTAATCCTAATATTCCTGTATAAAATAAGTCCCGAAAAAATCTCAACTATCATCAAACTGTGATTACAATGCAAATATTTTTTCTTATTTTTTACCTCATTGTAAGCATTATAAAATGAGTTCTTACAATGTGCGTACAGTTGGTAATTTAATTTTAAGCACATATTGAATATTTAAGTAAGGATTTGAATATTTAAATTATGTTAGCTTACAAGCTCTTAACACAAAAAGACCTCCGCCGCAGCAAACCTGCAGACTAAAAGAATTTCCATTTGCCTCATTAGCTTGTCATTAAAGTATTTTCTTAATAGTATCTAATATATTTCCAATAAAAATACATAAGGTTTAATACGTACTTAGGTTTGCCGTTACAGAAAAGTTAGTAAAGTGTTTTTTTTTTTTTTTTTTTTTTTTTGTTAGATATTAAATTAACTTTAATTTAAATTTTCAAGGTGTTTTAATTACCTTATGGTCGGTTGGTATAAGGTTAATGTTTAATTACGTCAATAAATAATATATCAAGATCATCGCTGTTAATTACAGCTAAACTCGTTTCATAGCAGTTAGAACTTTTTATAACAGTTTGCTTCAATAGGGGTTAAAATAACGGTTTAAAACTATATTTCAAAAACAGTTTGGTAAAGTTTTCTCGTTATTCATATAATTTAGGTTTCATAATCGATGTCACCTGGCGAGAACTATGGATTATCTTGGTTTATTTCAGTTGTAAGGTCAACTGCCAACACAAATCCATGTCTGGTTAGGACAGATGACAGACATGGACACAAAGGGGTTAACCCTTACTTTTACATCAAATCCGCCTGAATGTGACATAGTTGTCGTGGAGTGGTTTATTTCACTGCACGATTCAAAAATTTTCTGAAAGTACATAAAACGACTTCAAATGTATATTCCTGAAAAAACAAAATCTGTAGATGTTTTAAGACAAAGTTTAATTTAATAAAGGTCTAAATCATCTTTGTCTTAATCCAATCACTTTATCAAGCTATGACTCGAGTTATCCTAGCCACATTAAATAGAAGAACACACAACTACAAAACGAATATCCACGAACTAATGACACTAAAAAAACCTACAGCCAGTTGAGTTTATTTATTCTTTCAAACTATTGAGCACTGTATGACTTTTTGACTTCTAAATAATTAGATTTTTTCATATCTACAACATGGTATAGAAAAAATGCAAACTTTATTTTTTGAGAGTTTATGTTTGTAACTTAGATTATATTTTTATTTATGATTTTTTTATTTTTGATACACTTTTACATGTTGAATTGTATATGTTCAAATTTTAACTAAAAACATTTTTGATGTTGGAATTTAAATCAAACGTTTAACTGAAGATGTTCATGCAATAACTATCAACTCTACGAGAAGTTGTTATTTCAGTCTTGGCCTCATGATACCACACAATGAACGCCACATCTGACCTCGGAGATAGTGGATATCTATTTGATAAACTCCCTGATATTGGTTGACGACGGATATTCAAGTACAACTGTAATAGTACGCCTTTGTCTATTCCTGACTGAAAAACTGCCGATGGACTGAACTCTTACTTTGTCGACTGTGTTGAAAACCTGAGAAGTAACCTCACCTCTTCTAATGGTCCTGAGGAATATCTAAGTAATTTGACCTCATGCAGCGTTCTTCCGACTATTAAGGACAAAGATGCTTTTAGGATTGCACTATTTACTGTAGAGGAGCTGTATGCAGCCATAAACAGTCTTAACAACAACTCTTTTTTAGATATTTAAAGAATAAATGTCCCCATCTTGAAGTTAGCTTCTAGTTATATAAGTGAAGTCTTGACATACCTATGTATAACACAAGGTTGCTACCCAAACAAGTTCAAGATTTTTAAGGTTATACCAGTCCATAAAAAAGGGCCTGAAATGTTATTTGCTAACTATAGGCCTATATCTATTATTCCTGCAGTGTCAATGGTCCTGGAACATCAGGAACGATATGAGTACATCGTAGATTTTCTCAGTATCTTGAGGATAGTAACCTTTTAGCAAATAGTCAGTTTGGCTTTAGGCCCGAACACAGCACTTTCCAAGCAACCCAGGCATTGATATAAAATTGCTTTCAAAGTTTTGAGGCCAAAAGTGGTATAGTGTTTAGATCGTACGACATGTCTAAGGCCTTTGACACAGTGGCTCATGATATCCTTGTGGATAAGCTTTCTTGCTATAATCGTGATGCTGTTTTGGTAAGGTTTTTTACATCTTATCTTAGTGACGGATTGCAAAAATTCTATCTAAACTACACTTATTCTAGCTCTGTTCGAGTGATACACGGAGTGCCCTAAGACTCTATATTGGGCCCTACCCTGTTTATACTGTATATGAATGACTTACCTTGTAATAAAATTACTTATCTGTAAAAAGCTCTCTTTTTGCTGATGACCTAGCCTTGTGTGTAAAGGGTAACTCTTTGAATACCATTACAGATACATTGTATACAAAATTTGCTGTTATTAATGACTGGTGTAATGCAAACAAGTTATGCCTCAATGCTGATTAGACCCAAGACCTTACTATTAGTCTTAGCAGTAATGACAATTATGTTAGCACTCTGAAGGATTTGGGCTTTCACTTGCAGTCAAACTTGAAGTGGTTTTCTCATGTGGATTTTGTAGCATCAACAATGTTTAAAGGAAAATTTATGATAAGAGCACATAGATCCACTGTTTCACTTGATGTCCTTATTTGTATATATTATGGGCACATTCATAGCTATTTATCTTATGGTACCTCACTGGGGTCAACAATTTTTATGCTAAAAGGTTGCTGTTTACTTAACAAAAGGGCGAGGTTAATTAGAAGTGTAAAGAGAAGAACACATTGTAAGCCCCTTTTTGTAGGGCCTTAACACTCCCACATTTTAATCTTTGTATGTTTTGGCAAGTTTGTTGTATTTAAAAGGAAACATTTCTCACTTTGAAAAGATATCTGATGTGCACAACTATTTTAGGTACTAGGTCTAAAGATAATCTGTCCACACTAAGGCCTAAGTATACAGCCACTCAAAATAGTTTTGAGTACCAAGGTGTTAAAATGTACAATTTGCCTGCCTCGACATCAAAAACCTGTTGTTTTAAAACTCAAACATCTCTTGAAAACTCCTGTAACCAATGCTTTCCAGGAACAAAACATAAAAACAATGTTATATTGCTAAATAAAATCAAAAATATCTATTAATAATTGCCACATTCCTAATTACTAAATCATCAGGCATAATAAGAGAGGAGAAACGACATAAGTAATTAAATCACTGTCAACGCTTTTTATTGGCATAAGACAGGTTTTAAGATTCATTTGTAATCTTAGTATAAAATTATAATTCATTATTAAGGTAGGTTCCTAGTCTTAGTAGTATCACAGAACATTGGTCTGAAAATATTGTTAATCCGGCAGACGGTCTTATGGCCATTGCTGTTTAAGTGCTATTTTATATGTATTTTGTTCTTTTGTGTTAATAAAGCATTTTTACATTCATTCATTACTGTATTCTAAAATAGGTAGTTTATACAGAAATAACAAAATTTGATATATATTGGTGGTCTAAAATGGGAAAAAAATTTTAACCATTTTAATAACCCCCATAAGACACCGTCACCTTAGCCAGATCATGCTGATTCACAAACTCGTCCTAATAAACGTAGGTTAACTCGTTTGTCCCAGATATAATGATCCACATCTGATGACTGTTACTTGAGGTAGGGTTCTAATGGACTTCACACAAACATATACCAACACACACTCATGCATTTGTATCTGAATTTGAAGGATGGTCTTTTAGCCTCTTGAGACATCAAACGGTATGTATGTAAATGTAAATTGGTCCCAGATCTAGATCTTAACGCGAGACCTACAGTAGTAGCTTATTACCTATATGGGAAATTTGCGAAAACTTATTATATACAGGTTAAAACGTCTGGGCGTCCGTCCTTCTGCATAGTTCGATCGTCACACTAAAAAACATCCAGTATATATCCAGTGTATACACATCCAGGCCACGCAATACATCCTTTAAAACCAGCAAACTATATAGTCGTTCCTCCCTCAAGATTTACTAAACCTGACTTCATGGTGATACACTTTCATTTAGGGTACATTGAAGCAGTATTTAAACAAAAGATCAAAGGATTAATAAATCAACATCCGATTACTCAGTAGTAAGTGTAGATATATTTGATTATACTCTAACTGGTGCCAACATATTCATCAGGTATGGAAGGAGCACCAGCAGAGTCATTGCAGTGAGGAGGTTGGCACCACTTCCGCTGGGCAATGTGTTTGTCTGGAGGGCTTCAATCAGCTGAGTCTTGTTGTTGGTTGAGAGCCAGCTGACCCTGTTAGAGATCAGACTCCTTGTGGTTTGAACCGCTTCCACCACCACTGCATCAGCGTTTGTCACACTATCCAGCTGAAAGTGAAACTTTGAAAATAAACTCTAGTTTAATTAAAATATATCCAATACGTCTTCATTAGGCTCTACGATTATTCTGATTTCATCTCTTAAACCCAACTAATTAATTCTTTGTCCTTGCAAGATGTACACTTGCAGTAGTCTCCAACTATTATAGATAGTTTGACAGCTTCAGCCATAAATGAGTGCTGTGGAGTAAACAGTGCTGTTCTAGTTGATATGTATCACCGTTTTTTTATCACTACTGTCCCTTTACCATTTCAACATTTTTCAACAACAGTTTGCTGTGATTGATTGCAGTTTATCACTTAAAAGGGTTATGTGTAACAGGGATTTTTCCATTTGATGCCACAAAAATCCCAAAGATTTACATCTTGACATGAAGCGTATTCATGTTGTATTGAGACATAGTGATAATCAGTCACTCAAACGGACGATGAATGCCATTCGACACATCGCGTATTAGTAACCACTGATTATAATCAGTCACAGTGTACGACGTGGGGCCAGGCTTAAGATTGCGCTTAGCCATCCAAAAACTAAATAATAACAAATAGTTGGAATTAACTAGGAGTGTGTGTGTGTTGATTGCTTGGTAATAAATGACCGGCAACTACAAATGAAAAGCGTATATTTATTTCAGTTCTATTCATTTTGCTCCATACTAACAGTTTATTTGTGGAAATTCAGTGCTCGCATGTTTAATGTGTGTTAAATGTATGTGTTTTATACGAATAGAAATTAATAAGTTAACGTGTGTAACAGGTAAACAAATCACCACGTTCAACTTGTAAATTGTACTTCTTAATCGTGGGCTTGTATTGGTTCATATAAAATGTAGGCCTATTCCCACTAAACACCGCTAATGCGTTTATTTCAATTCATACAAACCGATTATACTGCAAAGGGGTCTTAAAACTACCTTTGATGCTGGGTCAATCATTAGCACAGCAGTTGATTAGTCTGGATTACGAATGCCTGTAATGTTAGGCAAAATATGCTTCAGTAGATCTGGTAGGTGACACATTTAACTGTAGGTGACAATATCTATTCAGATGAACAAACTTGGCCACAATAATTATGAGTAAAATTAAACGTTAGAATGTAGTTGAAGGTTGATACAGCCAACACAGGTTGGACCATCCAACCAACGTTAGAATGTAACAATATGGCTAATGGTTAAAATTGTACTAATCGTTTGTGGACAATCTGTATACTTATTCTTGTATCGTCAGTTAATATTAAATCATTGGTACAACGATAAGTATACACGTATTTCTCAGTTCAAACGTGTTACAAATTAAACTTACCACTGAAGCCTGGGTGTTGTTATTTATTTTTCGACCAGCCGTAGTGATCAGAGATGCTACTGACACCGAACCCAATCTGTAAAATTTCATACCGAAATAACAATAAAAGAATTAATATTTGTTAAATAACCTTACCCCTTACAATTTGATTTATTTTTCGTATATAAATATATATTTATATTTCGTATCACAGCATAGTGGATACAACATTACTTCAAAATATGTAGGAAACATTTAAACATAAATCTCATTTATGTTAAGTATTCACTTTTCTTTCGAGTTTACTGGTTCGATGGATATAAAGGGATCGCCCGAGTTTCTAAGCTGTGGCCATGTTGTCAATATTTTCTTTTGTGATTAGTACTTATCTGGTTTTCAGATTATAAAAGAAATAGTTGGATTTGTTCAAGTGGAGGAATCTTAAACAAGCGAGCAAACGTCAATTTTGTTTGAGTATATAATTTTTAATTTTACACTACATTTCCTGTGCATGTTAATAAATAGTTTTTGGCTTTATTATTGAAACTAAACTGAAAATCTTAAACAATTTTACAGTAGGAATATCCAGACTTAAAAACTCAATACTTACTTTGATTGGAACTTGTTGATTCGCTGGGTAAAGTTTGACAAGAAGGCGAATGGATTTTTCTCAGCCAGATTTTCCAATGTGATTTGAATGTAATGTTTAAGTCGGGAATTCGCCTCAGTCATTGTGTCAAAGTATCTAAAAAAAGAGATGTGTCTGAATAAGTAAAGTGATGGTTAACCTAAATTAATAATTTATTATATAAACTGTTAGAAAGTTTAATCAGCAAAATTCTTGTATTGGTTAACATACTTTTGAAATTTTAAGCTTTTAAACTAAATGCTTTTGAAACCAATATTAACGTTTCATACTTAGCATTAGTCATTATAATTGGTCTTTACCTAATTTTTCTTATTTGGATTCTTCAGTTTTTTTATATTTTAAACACAGAAATAACCCACAACATATGATATTATATTTTATAATAATTTGATCCGTCAGCATAATAATTGTATTTTATTCTTAAAATATTGGTGAAGTTTTTATTTCAAATTTATATTCATTCCAATATTACCAGTTCACAATTTTCACAAATTTGTAAAATTGGTTTAACCGTGGGAAATAAATAAATAAACCTGTTCTTCTTGAAGATAATAATTGTAGTTTATTGATTAGGTAAATATTGTTTTATTGATAATGCAAAAAGCAAGTTAATTTACCTAAATCTTATTAACGAGTGTACTAATTAAAATTCAAGATGAAGTTAATATCTAAATTATTCCTTTTTTAAGTTTGAAAATAAATTGAATATTCAAAATGTATAAACCATGTTTTTCTTTATAGCATCCTTTTGAAACAGCAACAATTATAGCTTTCAGGGTTGTTATCTAACCTTTCTTCATCTCTATTGACGGTTATTTGTTTTTTAATGTAATCTACTCCACTAACGCGAATGTTTTTTTCAGACTGAATAGAGGGTACACTTATTTACTCTAGATCATAACGTTTTAAAAGTGATACCTAAACCTAAACATTACGCCACAATTAGTTGTAACTGCTTGTAAAGGCAGTTTGCACTCGTGTTACACATGCTATTTATGCTTAAATGCTACAGTTACTATAAATCATATAAATAATTAGTCTTTCAAACACTGTACAACACATTTTTAGGTTAGGTTAAATTCAAACATTCAGTGAAATGGGAAACGCTGCACCAGCTGATCGTAGTCGTATTATCTCTAAGTGTTGCCAACCTATTTCCAAGTACAGCGTACATGGATTACGTGCATAATAAAAGCACACTGCTTTGTGTTGTTTGGTTGGAATACTGGCGTGTGACAAAGTAAAAACTGTGCGACAAAGTAGAAAGTGTGCGGCAAAGTAAGTAAATGCAGCAATTAGCAGCTCTCTGTACTGTAACCACTCTTGTGCCAGACTTGTAGTTTTTTTCCAAGAGTCAATGCTGTGGTACATACAACGTGACATTTACTTTTCTTTACTAATTTTAAAATATGCTGAGACAGACTGAGCTGTTTTTTCATTGTTACCAAAATATGATTTTAATTAATTAATTTTATGTCAAATTGACACAGTATAGTATCTATCTAGTTATTAGATAATTTAGCCTTCGTTTGAGACCTAGCCAATGCTTCCAAAGCTATAGCATTTTAAAATAAGTATTTCAGAATGGTATTTATTGACTGGGATAACTTATTCCTGAAATAATATCAGCTTATTATGATGAATGAAAAGTTAGTATCGGTGTGTATCCTCAAAGTAGTATCAAACTGAGGTAAGAATGGACTATTAGATTATACCACAGACTAGGGAACAAAATGCACTAGGGAACAAACTTGTATTCCCTCGTCTGTGATTATACTTACTGGACCACGTCTGTGTAGTTAGACAGACAGCCAAGAGCTATAGATGCATATCGTCTGCTGTAGTAGTTGTATTTGGAGTCAGAGAGAATGCCCCACAAGGTTTGTGCCTTAAGAGTGGAATTGTATCTTGCTCCACAGCAAGCTATCCCGTCATATGTGCTACTGGGAATACTTGAAAAACGGAGCTTTTATGTAGTAATGAACAAAATATGTGTTAGTCATTTTATATATACTATAGGCTAATTTGTTATGCTTAAAGTGTCAAAATATACTTATAAAGTATCTAATGTATCTTGATGTGCATATTTTGACCTAACCAAGTTCACTTTCACCATCGAAATAGGTATAAATTGGCACCAACTTCTTGCGTTAGGACCTTTATTCCCAGACAATCAACACAAGAAACAAAGACGAAAACGCAATTAAATTATTTCATTAAACCTCTCTGTATGTTCTAAACAAAGAGGTCTGAGAAAAGAACACATACAAAGCATAAAATCGGAATAAAATGGATTCGACCAAATTACGATTAAACCCTGACTGAATTGCATTTTTATAAATCCCGTCCCTAATATTGACAATGTCTAAATTTATTGACTCAGCTTAATCAGTTAAGTATCTTCTAATTGTGACTGAGAAGTTTATACTAACCTGCTAGGGAAAGATCCTCTAAGAAGGTCGGTCAGGTTACCTATAGCGGAAGTTCGGTATCCTGTGATGTCATACTCACACATGTCGTCCAAGAACAGACCTTGTATTCTTGCCATCTCGAAGGTGTCATAAGAACTGTTTTGGAGAAATCTGTTCAGATTCAGAAAGTATCCGGCAGCAAAGTTCTGAAAATTATCAAAGGGGAGATTATTTAACATGTTTTACTATTCAAGTTGATAACTAGTTGTGAGGCTTTTAATGAATTCTATTCCTCCAAAAATATCTAATAGTTTGTATTCACATCTATATTACTAGAGGTTTATAGGTACAGACTACAATTTTATAAACAAGCCAATATTATGGAACACGTCAAAAACTTGTATTTTCATTCTTGTGGTAAAGCAGTTTTGTATAGAAAAGGGTATGTAAAAATTGGTCACTAGGAAAGCTTTGACGTTGCCTAAACTGAATAGAATAAGTTCCTAGACTGAACAAATATCGGTCGCTCTTCTCACTCTAATATGAAATGTTTCGAATATAAGTTTCTTCTTAATATGTTCCGTATTTCATATTAATTTTCGTGGTTGTTATATTAATTGCGTTTGGTTGTTTTAAAGCCACTCTCCCACAAGGCCCAGTTAAGTAGAGAGCTTTTTATTGAAATCAAATACGTTACTGTCACGCTTTGTGAAGACTTAGTTCCATCGATCTGCTATTTGGTTGGAACAAAATATATTGCAACGGGTTATTGAATAAAAGCTTGATCATCTTGAGAAACAGAAATATCATGGTCAATAAGATAAACTGATTTGATAAGGCATGGGTCGATATGCTTATACTATAATACCTTGTAGGATGTGTATTCACTTAGACCCATTAAATTGTCACCAATTTCTTTCAGGCCCCGCTGCACTGGAACCCAGTTCTTGTATTGGGTATTTCCTAAGTTTGCATTGGCCAGCCTGATGGTGATGCCGTAGTTGAGGGGGTTCGAACTGCTGAGAGCGAGGGCAAAAGCATCGTCTAATAGTTGTGACCGACCCATGATGAGGTTGTCTTTTGAGGAAAGGCTGGTGATGATGAGCTCCCAATTGCTGGTGTCATAATTACTTCTATAGTACCCTAGAAAGAAAGTCTTCATGTAGACTAATTAAAATTCGGCATGCTACATTTTATAGGTATTAAATATTTATTGAAATAGCACAGGAGAAACTCTCACAGGTATATTGTATTTTATATTCATTATTAAAATAATATTACCTCCAGAATTCATATTGGCTACAATCCAATCTGTGTTTTTGACATCGATAGAGGTTGTTATTCGGCTGTCGGAATCAACGTTGTTAGCCCAAATTTCCTGTCGAGGGTAGTTGTATCGAAGGTCTGACTTACTACTCACAGTAGTAGACAAGTAAAAGTTCGGCTGCAGCGTATCTTTGCATGTAGTATTGAATACAAAACAATACCCAGTCTGGAAATAAATTTAATTTTAGATTAAAGTTTTTTGTAAATTACTAAAATTACTAATAAAATAAACGTATAATATGTTTCTCGCTCGACGGCCTTGTTTTAAGTGTGAAAAATACACCTACTCATAGTATTTACTGTTGTTTCGTTTACTCCTGCATATAGGATTTTTTTTAAATCACAATTAAGAAAACAATAACTTTCAACGTTTTGAAGTTCTACAAATTGATAGTCGAGTGCTATTTATTTTTTTTATAATATTCCGTTACTGTTTGGTAAGTTTTTAACGAAACATTTTTAAAACATGTGGATTATCAATGACTGCTGAATTATAAACCTTTTTAGGAATTGTGACCAAATTATCAATTATTTACTATTATGATAATTTTTTATCGTCTTCGGTATTGTACTGACAAATAAAAAATTGCAGACCGAAAAATATTCGATACTATATATTTTCGATTGATTTAAATATTAGTTCAAGGTGTCAAAATGAATTTAACTGTTTTAATGAATTTAACTGTAATAGGTAAATATTTAACCTATTCACCTTCATAAATATGTTAAATGAAATGCTTATTTGTCATTTATGTGATCTGAGCAAGGTTTCCCGTCATTTTCAGACCTACTGCAGAAAACCTGATGGTGACAAGCTTTGCTGTAAACAAATATGGTTTACGAGTAACCAACCTACCTCTGGCAAGTTCTGACTCGCAAATTTATATACACTATAGTTTATAATTACACTATAATTACTTTAATTACTCTATAGTTTATATACACCATATTTATATACACTGTATACACATTTTATACACCCTAAAGATAGCAAAATGTAACCACGAATATGTTCTTGTAAATACCGAAATAAAAAAGACTTTGGGTCAAAGATTTCAAAACAGTATGGCTACTTTATGACTTTGGATTGTACTATGTAAAACGTAATCTTGCCTACGATAATTCAAATTTGAAATTGCCATTATCAAATTTAAAATTTAAATTTAGATTTAAAAAAGTATAGAATTAAGTACTCAATATCAAAATACTCATAAATCCTTGACTATAAAACCGTACGAGGGGTCATGTTTAAAACTGATAACTGTTTTGAACAAAGAATTATAACAATGAATAATTATTATTGAATTCTGGGTTTTCCCCCCAGTTCATTCAGAATAAACATTAATACAAACTAAACAGTTATCGTAAACATTTGCTGATCATTTTTAGATTCCTGATCAAAAAACAAAACAAAAACTGTACACAAAAGTTTATGACAACAGTTTAGTCTACTTTAACGTCCCATAAAACACATGATTCACACATCTCGGCGTACATTTGATACCTTTGTAATACCTCTTGTGATTTTTGTTGTAATTTGTTGGAATTTTTCACCAAAAATGTCTATGTTAAAAAACTCTTTTATTTAAAACTACGTTTGCTATAAATAAGAATTAAATTCTAGTACTGTCAATTTAAAATAAAATAACTATTATAACCTTAAACATATTAAGATTTTGTTTATGCAATATTGTTTAGGATTTATTTAGAAAATTAACTTTCCTTGTACTATTTTTTTCCAATTATAATAAAACATTTTGAGTGACAACCAATACATCGACTTTCTTTACAAAGCCTTACTTACAGTTGTGAAGTTCACGCTGCCTATGGCTTGGCTTGTATATTTATTGATCTTGACCGTTTCCAACGGGTAACTCGTGAAGCTGATCCAAGAATTAAGGGTATAAGTCAAGGACAGTCTTGCATTCGAAGACAAGAGGGGGTTGTTCCCAATAGCTTGAATAGCACTGATGAAATTTGCACTAGACACTGGTGTTTCCGAGCTGAAATGATGTTTAAGTATATTAGTGTTACAAATATATTTAGGTTGACTGGAAGGGTATCACATAATTTTAAAGAAAAATCAACCATAGGTAAAAATGTTATTAAAGGGTTTATAGTGGATATTTCCCAAAAAGATTATTTAATAGAAAAAATCGTTTATGAATTTCTGCGATATGGAATCTGCTGGAATATTACTCGGTCACTTGGCTCAGTCTGCGTGTAAACACTATCTAGCAGACAGGTCTATTGTGTGCTTATTCTCCATTTGTACTAACTATTGTTTTGTCTGATATTATTTTGGAGTCTTTGTATTTAATCTACAGTATTCAGCTCTCTGTGTGGTTTACCTTTTGTGATTTTCCACCTTAGGTTTATTTACTAACCTTGATCAGTTCTAAGCACTGATGCCTTAGATAAAGGTTGCTCTTGCACTTGCAATTGCTTTATCTTGCACTTGCAAGACAAAGGGATTCTAGATCTTGGAACATCAAAGAAAATTGGTTTTCACTGATCATGATGGATAAATTCCTCAATAATCCCATAAATAGCTTAAACTACTATCACCTATTATAAACTTCAAACAAAGAACACTGGGTGTTATTGGGTATGTTTAAGCATTTTGAGACCCTGTTTATTTGGAGTAAAATTTCGAATTTCCACTTTCCTTAGTCCTAGAAGATATGTGAAAAAGTGAGGTGGTGTTACAAAATAAGGTTATGATTTAAAAAAAAAATAATGAGTACTTTTCATTTTTTATTCTTGACTCATAAGATAAATGAATTGAAAGTCTAAAAAATAACGTGATTACAGATAAAAAAGGAATTATGATCTTCTTTTTCATAGACATATGCCATTGACTATTGGATACTGAATTAGACATCCCATCTATATGGACCAGCTGTAGCCAATTTTTTTGTTAAAAGAACATAGTTGTGTGAGCCAGTCACAGAGACTAAAACTCTATTTTCTACCTTAGTTTTTGTTGCTGGCCAAGTGGGTGGGTCATAACAGTTGCTATAGCTCACAATAAGTCATTCCATTAGTTTGTAATTGTTAAAAAAGATTGTGTATTCAACGGAAATCAGTAATTTAGATCAGCACAATCTGTTGGAGGCTCACATCAACTACGATGATTTTGGTAAAAAAAAATGCCTACAAATTCAACATGGGGATGGAATATCTAGTTGTATTAATAGTCAAAGCATATACTAAAATACAGGATTTTAATTAGTTTACACACGAAATGTTTTTTGGGAAACCATTTGAAAGCGTCAAGGGCTTAATCACCAAGCGCACTCCTACTGGTCACCAACCAAAATGGCCATTACATATATACATCATGTCCTTACTTTGGCTGGTCGCCGACCCACGTGTAGAGAGCGGTTTTTTCTAGAATACTTCTTACCCTGACAGCCTAGATTTGTTTAAGTGCATGGCTTATCCTGTTTGTTTCTATAGTACATATAAGCCTTGGATATCGTATATATAAATAGCATTTTCAATTTCTAACTGAAGTTACTTTCTCTTATTTTGTTATTTTCTGTATGAAGAGAGGCCTACTTTAAAAAAATATTAGACTTATGGTTTATTTGCTCTATTTTGTAAATTATCACGATAATTTTAAACCTGAATATGTACATTCTCTCTTTTATGTAGGTTTATGTTCGTAAAAGTACAAAATAATGTCTCTCTGACGGTCGTAATATAAACTTAATAGCAGCTGTAATAGCAGGTCGTTTAGTGTTTCTATACAAGATTTTATTTCTAAGTCTATTTCTTATCATGTTTGTTTCAATAGTAAACTAAGCCTCGGAGATAGTATAATATATAAATAACATTTTCAATTTCTAACTGAAGTTACTTTATCTTATTTTGTTCTTTTCTGTATGAAGAGAGGCCTACTTTTTGAAAACATTCGACTTATGGTTTATTTGCTCTATTTTGTAAGTTATCTCGATAATTTTAAACCTGAATATGTACATTGTACATTCTCTCTTTTATGTAAGTTTATGTTCGTAGAAAGTAGAAAATAATGTCTCTCTGACGGTCGTTTAGTGTTTCTATACAAGGTTTTATTTCTGAAATGTTTTTTCTTATAAATGTTTTATTATTTATATATTTTTGTTTATAAGATACCTTAAAAATTTCAGTTATCTTAAGTTGTAAACATTTATTAAAAGTACAATTAAGAAAATAGCATTTGTTAGGTAGTGCAATGGAACATTTTATTTTATACGTCACTCATACAATGTTTATTCATATGAGTAGTTAACAACAAAATAGATTTTTTTATACTTAATGTACATGGGTACAATAAAAATATCGTTATGGCTCGTGCCCAGTGAAGGTAGTATAGCTACAGCTGGTGCACAGTAGAGGTGAGCCGACATCACCAACCACAGATTTGATTAAAGGCTAGTTAAATATTACAAACGCAACATATTCTTACTTGGTGTTGAGAAAGGCTTTGATGGTGTCAAAGACAGTTCCTGCAGGTAGAGACTGGTCCAGCATGTTTAGAATTGCAGCTCCTGCAGGAAAAAATCACATATCCTTACTTTTGCCTGGATAAATAAATAATATTTCATTTCATTTCATTTCATTTCATCCTTAATATGTACATTGAACTCAGTTGTATTACCTTATACACAGCTTTTCAAACCTAATGTAGACATTATTAATTAACATAATTAAATTGAGCTTTTGAAAAGAAAAAGAAAATACCACACCCAAGAATAAGAACAAGAAAAAATAATATGTTTTTTGACGTTACATACAAATTACAATAGATAAAGTCAGATCAAATCCTATTTTCCATGGATTAGATATATAGTTTATTGATAGAAAAAAAAAATACGATTATGAAACATCTGTAGAATGTATAGAATCTTTTTACACTAAAGTTTATTCATAGAATAACAAGGTAAATAATGTGTACTTCATGTGATAGAAGAAAACATTACAATAGATTGAAATATTTACTACAGTTTTTAGCTAAAAAGTTATAATTTTTTGTAATTACTTTAGAAGCAAAATTTAACCATACCTTTCAGGCCTTTGAGAGGATCATCTACAAGAGCTTGGATGGATGATGACGAGTTATAAATGTCTGAGTCATCTTTGAGAGGTTTTGCACCAGGCTGAGCGTCCAGATAAAGGGCTTTTTGACGAGTGACGACTTCTAGGTCAGTTTTGAAGTCGAACGTGGGCAACACCTGTGTTGGTATACATGCAATGACTTAGAATGGAGCATGTCTTTATGTAGGAGTTGTAATTTTACTAAAATATCTAACTTCAATCACTAGTGTTAATCGCACCATAGAAGACCTAAAATTGGTCTAAGTTAAGATTAATTCAATTCGTTAGATAATCTTTTAAAATTATCACTATAATTTTTTACTAATTATCACAGCTTGTTAGTTTTAGTTTCGTTTGTGTCTACTACAATAGCGGATTTAATTTATTACCTAGGCCAAAATTTACAAATACACAAAACCAAACTTTGCTAAACAAATAAGCCATGTCTTGGATGTAAAATGTGTTCATGATCCTAAACTATTAAGTTGATACTTGCTGTGTTTAAGATGACGAACTCCAAGTACTTTCCAATAGCCTGGGAGACCCAGTAGTCGGCCCACTGAGCGGGGCGTGTACTGAACTCAGAATACTGCCTGATAAACTGATAGATTACTGGGACAACGGTGGATTTAAGCAATCCCTCTACTTGCGGGCTGGTATAGTCTTTCGCGTAGTTCTCCTCCCTTAAACAAATCAGAATTAAGGCTAATACATGTTGACATTATATGTTTGACTTCCTCCGAGATCGATTAAATTGTCAAGCAGAATAACGGGAGGAGGCAAATATTGACTCCGCATTTTCAATTCATTGCACTAAATCAATCTAAAAGAGAATGCAAAGTGCAGCAACAAGCGGCAATCGCACCTTGAGTTGGGTCATACAAGTTTTCTATTTGGGATGTTGGCGTCAATCAGAAAATACCAATCTTATTGACACAACCTCAAACCAATAGTGAAAATAAAGAGAATTGCTACATAAACAGTATGCCTGGTTCTATTAAGTGGGAGTTACACGGGTCAACCTGAGCTGAACAGTTGGAGTTGAATCAACTACAGTTTAATCTAAAGTTGATGATTGTGTTTACACCTAGCTACATAGTTGAAGTGAACTACTATAAAAAACTACTTTCAAAAACCATATCGGTAGATTGTTATGTTTTCCAATTATGTGTACAAGCTATTGCAGGAAGAATAGACCACGTGTTATCAAGAATTCTTAAAAATCCCTTAAACATTTTCAACAATTGACTGTTCAACAATCAACTTGAAACAAAAATATCAGACATTCTGTAAACTTGGGTTGATCAACTTTCTTTCAACTAGTGTTTACGCGCTTCAATTTCAACATTAAACTTGAAACAGGTTGCTCAACTCAAGTTGACCCTTGTAAACCCCGTTTTAGTTTTGGCGAATAATATTTCTGAACTTGTTCAGTTTCTATAGCATAGCATAGGATCTAGAAGATCTTTCGATGAAGTAAGTAGCAAATGCTATCTGAAATTTAGAGACTGACCATTCCAACGACATTCAATGTTTACATACTTAGGTTTGCAGTCTTGTAAAGCACAATTTTAAAGTTAAGATAGGTCATAAAGTCGATACGGGTATTTTGTATTATAAAAATTAATTTAGAGTGCATTTTCCTAGGAGATGATACATCAGTTTTGTCGTTCGGCTGAACTACCGAAACCCATTGTCACCATATTTAAGAATTAAAAAAGGTTAATATAGTTTATTTATTTTTAGAATAAAGTTAAAATTATCAAATGCTACTATATTATAATTTGGATATTTACTTCTTAATGCAAATTGATCACTCCTAGATTCTTCATTCTACAACTTAATTTTGATCATATTGCGACAAGATTATATTAAGCACCTTCATCTATATTTTGAAGAGTACGTTAAAGTTTCTTAAGCAACCTAAAATTTGCATAACCAATTAAGGTATTTTTTTAAAATAAATATTGAAAATTTAAACCTAAAACTTTTTGAATATCCTATATGTCATAGATTTTCTTTTACTACGATAAATATAACTTATGTTACCTGATGAAAATGACTCCATAGCTTGAGAAAGGTTCTTCCAGTCCAGGTACCATAACTATGTTGAGCTGACTGATTTTCAATTTGAAAGATAACGTGTATTGTACAACGTTGAATATATCTGATAGGAATTTGGCATTAGCAGAAAGGGTAGTCGTGTCAAGACCTTTCCTTGCCCAAAACGTAAGCGTCATACCAGCAACTGGATAGTTTGTTGTACTCATGTTCGTTGTTAGAAAAAATGCTAAATTGTTCGTTGAAGTGTTAAAGGAGTTGAAGAGAACCGTGGTAGTTCTGAAAATTAACACTGATTAGTCGGATTATAACAATTATATTATTTGTACAGTAGCAGACGTTAATAACATCATTATGTGCTATCATTTGTAAGGACATAACACCAAATTTTAAATGTCGATAAGTGGCAAGTGGAAAATATATTACTAGAAACATGAGATGTTCTCACACTCTCCTTGTTAATGGTAAATATCTTAAAAATATACATATGCTTAAATATTTTAGGGAAAGTAATTCACATGCTTTTATAAACGACAAAATAAAACATTATTTTTAATTTCCTTAAAAATAAGAAAGTAATTTCAATTTATTGACAGTGTATATGCTAACTATAGACTTTGTATTTAAATTATTGTAATCAGTCGTTTACTTCTTTATGACAATAGCTTTAGGCCAAACTTTATTATAAGTAAATTAAAAAAGGACCAGCTGCTACCAAGCTTTAGTACCTTGCACAAAACAAAGGAAATTTCACTTATAAATAATTCAAGTTGAGCAAAAAGCTTTGATATATGTAGAATTCTTATTAAATACTAACCCTTAGTTCTTAGTTAAGGAAAACCCCTACTATTGCAAAGAACATTCTTCAGAGTGTATTATACAGTGTAAATACAATTATTCATTACCCAGCTAACTGTCCTGCAGCAGATTTCTCCACAGCTACTGTCGCCCCAACACCCCATGTGTTAGGGTAGGTTAAATTGAGCTGAAAGAACCCAGGTAGCTGAGGTTCATCAAGACAAGGGAAAACTTCTCTGGCGAAACTTGGTCTTAAATTAGTCATGATAACGGCACTACAACAGAATATTAATGCTTGGTTTTAAAATCACTAAACCCATCATAAATAAAGTTTTAGAATCAATCGTTTGGATATTGTTTGTCAGTTTGCCCACAAACTGAGACTTTTGAACTCGATGTGGATAAGTGCCATCTGGTTTTGACCTAGACGAAACAAAAAAAAAATACATTTAAACTAAATTACATCCTCTAAACATATTTTTATTTTTTATTTGTTTCTTATTTCTGCTTAGGTTATTTGAAGTTGAGTTGTAATTTAAGTGACGTCCCGTATAGGGAATAAGCTATTATCTTAAGTCTCATGATAAAACCTGGGCACGAGACCGATTTACTTTTTCGTTTTGTATCCCTAGGAGCCAAATACGCTATGCCTTCTCATTCATACATATGTATATGTATCACGTAAACATATAAAAGTATAATGTGTCCGTTAGTGCGATAACTTAAGCAAAAATCATCCAATTTTGATGAAATTTCGTTCAAACGTGTAAACCAACGTTTATTCGAAAAAGTCCGCGAACCAGCATGAACGGAGTTTTATGGGATAAAACCGTGTTTTCTCATTTTTGACCCTCAAAACAGAATTTCTCAATTCTAAAACATGTTTAGAGCTTAAAAACAAATAATTTAGTATTTTGAAGCAGTTCCGTACGATTATTCAAATAAAATAAAAAATAATTTATTCCAGGAAAATATGGTTAACAGAAATTACAATTTAAAAAAAAACTGGATGATTCCATCCACATTTCTTAAAAAAACGTGTGTTATTTTGGTTTCAATCCTGTGCGTGAGGAACGAGATATAATCAGTCTACAGACTTAAAATCAAATTTTTCACCGTTATACTAATCTACATACGAATGCATATTTTACAAAGGAAGAAAACAATTTCACTAGGGAGCCACAGGAGATAACATTAACCCTATGAAAAGAGCTAAAAAGTTTGCTTTTTATGGTTTTTTTTTATCTTTCGATCAAACTTATTAATTTATTTTATACAGAGCTATTAAAATATAGTTCACTAAAACCTCACTTTACCAACCTCTGTCTAGTAGCAAACTTAATTCCTCGCTAAACCCAATGTTTTATAAAATTCGGGAATATATCTAACATGTTTGTTTTAGCAAATATCAAAGTGAAAACCCAATCAGGCAAATGTAAATTCGTCTAGTCTGTAGATTTGCTGTTAATGGGGTATTGTTTTTCAATAGCATTTTCATGTATTATATCTTTATATAGCCCAAAAATTAAATACTCACTTAATTTGGTTGTTTTCAATCGGATACTGTCTGTAGAACAATCCTTTATTGTCATCGTTTAGCTTGGTCAGAAAGGTCGCAGTTACGTTGTAGAATGTACCGGCAACAAAGTTTGTATCAGCCTTTATGTAGGTTATATTCCATTGTTGAGTGGTTGCGTTTACACTTTGACTCAAGTCGGTACTTGGAATGGTTGTTGTTGGGGTTGTTTCATCCGTATCTGCGTACGTTACGAACATGTCCATGTATGTTAGAGAAGGCCCCCAATTTAACAAGATGTTTTTCTAAAAACAAACGGATACTTAACAACTATTTGAATAACTAATGAACAAATAAACCTTAAATTTGTATGAAACTGAACTGTTTTGTCTATTGTGTCATAGCCACATTATCATACGAGACTAATAGACGCAACGGAGCGTTGGTCGTCAATTCTCGACAATATATGTGTGTGTTGTCGTGGCCATAGCATCTACTGGATCAATATCACTGTAACACTCACATGCCACTTGCAATCCTTGGGATAATTTGAAACAAAATATGCACGAACAGTTGTATATTACTACTAATGGTATAGGTACAACAACTAGGCCAAATATAATGTCACACTACAACGATCACTTACATCAACCATAATGCTAATGACTCAATATTATTCATCAAACTGAAAAGATTTAACTAGATACAAAGGCAATTTACGCTAAAGTCCCTGACAGATTCCAGATACATAATGGTGTAATGCCCTGTGCTCATGCGTATTGGACGTATTGGAAAACTCTTTAAAATTAATCCTTAGTTGACATTTTATTTATCCAAGCAATATTAACTTACCTTGATACAAACTTATAAAATGGGATTAATTATGTTTTAACATAATAAATAAGATTTGGGTGATATTGTTATTTTACAAAGATGGGATGACAAATCGTCAACTTGAGGTAATTACAGAAGTATACGAATGCATAAGAATCATAGCCTCACAAATGCTGTTAAGTTCGTTAATATGTTTCCTTTGTACATCAATGAATTATACAATTTTTCTAACCGAATGTAAAAATAATCAACAAATCGTCACAAGGTTGACTATCTTACAAGCAAAATTAAATACCATTCTTCCTTATCGTATTTATACAATATTAAATTATGTCATGGCAAAGAAGAGAAACTTACCGTATTAGTTGTGCACCGTAACCTAATGATAGCGATTCCATCAACATCTGCTGTTAAGTTTGAAGTTATCGTCAAAGTGAGATTGTATCCTAAGATCTGGAAGTTGTTCGGAAGGGCACACAAGGCACCGGGAAGAAGTAACACCCATAACAGCAAAAACTTATCCCTTTAAAAATAAAACAATAGTACATGAAGTAATAGAAATCTTCTTGTATAAATAATTTAGTTTTTACCTAAATATATTTATACTATAGTAATACGATTCTGTTAAATATGATGACGTTGATAGTAAATACCAAGGAAGGCTCCAATGGAATGAAAACTTCCATGAAGATAGTTGTTTTTTTGTTGTTTGACATTTAGAAGCGTTAACGTTTTTTATTTCTACTTACAATTTAATTGTTATTAAAGCACTAATTGGCCATTGCCTTTGTACTTTAAACTAGTCACAGATTAGTTTTAAATAAAAAGTTCATGTCAAAGTTAGTATTTAGGGTCTTCGGTCTTAAGTCATATTTCCGAAAACCTTAAAGATCCTTCTATGGACCTAAGTTTGCAATGAAGATCCAAAACATTCTACATGTGTATATTGATGAAAGTACTTGGTTTTTGTGTGTCTTAAAATGTTTGAGAATAATGTTGTTCTTAACCAGAAAAGAACAATATGTTTAAGAAAAAGTATTTATATTTAATAACTTATATTTACTTATATTTACAACTATTATTTTAATGAATCGCGCTATAATTATTTCCATCGTCTTTTATGCATTTAATACATCAGTTATTTATATTACGTTTAAAATTATAATTTTGATTTTCTGAAGATTACAATAACTAAAAAATAAGGAATATTTTCTGCAACTTTCATTCAACCGCCAAGAACATTTGGAGATAACGAAGCAAACAAAATCATAAAAAACAGTCAGGCCAAATTAGATCCTTAATAGAATCTATTTATATAGAATCAATTTATCACTTTTAAAGAATGTGCTTTGTGTTATTATTTCCAATATTTGTTTATATTTACCAAACATACATGCATTACAATTCCAAGTTTTCATTTACACAAAATTTGGCACTTCGATTATTTATATTTCTGGCAGTTAGGTATTCTATGGATCTTTCCTGTAGGTCCGATCGAATTATAAAATTTTATTTTATAAATCTTTTGTGAATACTGTCTCTAGGATGCAAAATAACCAACACAATTCAAACTCTAGTTTCCAAACAAAATAGTTTCATTTCCAATTATCTTTAAAGAGTTCCTCATTAGAAAACCCACTCTCACATTTTCTATTAATGAATTTAATGTTTTGAAGCGATTTGGTGTATAATATTTAATATCATATCCTAACCCATACTTAACTATAATGTATTCAAATGACCCTTGCCTCTGTACCTTCAAATTCCAAGTACAATGGTATTTTACTGTTTATAATTTCTTTATACTGTACTTCTAAACATTTATAACTTTTATTTATATTTTACTTAAGTATGAACAATAACAATCGCTTAATTATGGTTATGATAACTCATCTGATGAATAACTACAATATGTAAAAATTAATAAATTAAAGTCGTTGTTTATTAAATAATATAATAACGTTAGAAGTACGAATGTCATTTAATATTAATGCGAATTGGAAGTAAGAACGTATACTACTGATTGGATAAACAAAGATTGAGCAATCAATACTTGTGCTGGTAAATCTGATATTCACTGAGCGCAACTTTTGTAATCTTCTTATTTGCTGATGCAAACATTACATCAAGCTAAGCCTGAATATTTAGGCCTGATAAAATAATCGATTTTCAACTTACTGGATTAAAAGAAAACTCCGCCACTGACAACTTGAACAATATAATTACTCTGATTAGGTATTCTTCAAAATGTTCATGATACGATTTGATTTCAACAAGTTTCGGTAAGTGAGCTACTTGTTCTCTCTCTCATAAAAGGTAAACAAATTTAATTCCTTATTTTTAGTACAAGTATTTCTAGTGTAATTACATATTCTTATAACCTTCTTTCATTGTAGCAAATACCAAAATAACAATTTTTGCCAGTAGTTCTAAAATAGTTTTTAAAATATGATCTAATCCCCTTTTAGTCTCGTAATTCAAATTTAATTGTAATAAAAATCCACAAAATTTCTTGTGTAAAGAAAAACAGTTTAGTTGATGATATAATGTGAATTAAAATATACGAATAAAATATTTGGAGATTCAATCAGAATTATATTTATTGTTATACCAAAATCACACGATTTACAAGACACAGGTGTATAAAATAATTGCGAATAAAAATCTTTTATACATTTAAGAGGTAAGCCACTAAAATGTTAAATTGACATAAAATCTTTAAAATACAAAGAATACAAATTTTAATAATTTCTATAATGATATTTTAAAGGAAAACTATATATATTTTACTAGGAAAGTTCATTAATGTGCTATGTAATGCACTATATAAAATGCTTGTTGAGTGTGCAAAGATTATTTTAACTAAAATGATCTACAGTACACTGTGCCTAGACTTGAGTTATCAAAAACATTATCCTTATGTAATTCTAAGAGGTAAAATAATTTGAAAATAAACTTATTTTGGATATTTATTCTGTTTTTGACGTAGCTAATGCATTTTATGTTAATTTTACTGAATTAACGACTTATGACTTAAAGAAAGTAATTGTCTATTTAATAGGAAAAAACTGGTGATAAATAATTTATTTTTGTTAAATATTTGAACATTATTTTAATATAAGTCCAGCGTAGTATGAAAAATAAATTATCCTACTGATTATTGTACTATATAAAATACCCGTTGACTGTACAAAGTTATTTTCATTAACCGTAAAAATTAGATACTTACATTGCACTGGGTCTGGTGCGAGTGCGTCTGGATCCTACCCAATATTGATTATTTGATAACCGTGGCCTGGCGTTGATATGGGACTAGAAAGGCCGAATCTGCTCCACTTGAAACTTTCATTATATCTATGACTCAAATGGGCGAGGAGTCGATAAGACATTCCTCAGGTTACGATAATTATGGTTTTAACTTGAGTGTCATTTCGCCTGCGATACCAGGAATAACGATGGAATCTCCAAAACTTGAGAGTATAATTGAGAATTCAATTGAAGGTGTTCTTTACTAATCTAAGATAACAAATGTTGAAGGAACCTGTTGTGATTCTACAGTCAAGTTACTCTGCTTTTCCTCAGAGGTTTCAACCCTTAAGGTGAATAGAAAGTTATTGAAAACTCTTCATCGCTTGTGTTGAAAAGTCTAATAGACGGATATCAAAGAAAAATTTTTCAAAATAAAATTATATAATAATTACGGTCGCGTGGTGTGACTATATGACTCACCATCGGGAATTTCTATCTTCTTATTTGTATGCATAAGCATGATCCAAAGGTTAAACATGATGATCAAGGATGTTGAGAGCTACATTTTGTAGCTGAGGGTTAAAAATGTATCCCATAAACCATTTAAGTTGCATTGAATAAAGCTTTAGGCGTTTACGAAACGTGTATTGTATCCCTTATAGTGAGTGCATTGTGGTATCTGTACATTTCTAAAATTCTGTATACTCTCATGTACGGTGCATGAGATTTCTTGGATGTGCAAACTAATGTTCTACATTAAGCTAAACATAATTAGTTATATTGCGGATGAAAAAGCTTTCTTAAAAAGTCGAGAATATCTAGATATTTTGACTTTAAAATTTTTTTAAATAATATTGAAACTAAATATGTTTTGTGAAATGTAGGACAAACTAATCATTTTAGTATAAGACGTACACTAAACCTATAATCCTACATTTAACAAGTTCATTTCTCCACATATTAAAAACATGATAATTGAATTGCTTGAAGAAGATTACATCTTGCTACCTATTTGATGTTGCTCGGATGCAATATTAGCAACAGTTTTATCTTTTTGAGGTCAAAATAAAAAGATGTTGAGATTTGTAAGCTCCGTTCTTTCTTTTGACAAGTATTTGAGTAATGCGATAGTAGTTAATGTGATTATCCAATTTCACGATGTATAATTAGATATAAATGTGTTCTTTTTATTTCTTGGGGTTACACTGGTTTTATTTTTTTTTGCGTTTAAGCGAATTTACCAAATAGGGAATACGCTATTACAGTAGGTCTCATCGTAAGACCCAGGCCCGATTTAGATTTCGTTTTGAGGTCCCAAGAGGCCAAAAAAACACTCCTTAAAATACACATGTATGTCCGTTGGCGTGATAACTCGAGCAAATCCTAATTCCTTCTATCTAAGTCGAATCAGGTGTTTTAATTTGATCCGTAACACATATAGTATATTTCTGAATACATTGCGATATCACAAATAGTTTTAAAAGAACACTGCTTGTAAAGAGTTTAGCACAGCACTTCTCTCTAAAAGACCGTATCCAAATCTTGCAAATCCCAATAACTTTCCTGAGCGATAATGCCAAAGGAATTGATTTAACGACATCAAACATTCTGCTAGGTGAGGAGAACTGAACTGTGTCTGTATTAGACACCTCTTCACGAAAAGCCGTGTAACAGCTACCAAATATCATAGAAAAACACCGGTCGTTAGTAAAATATGCTTATTATTCCAAACTGTTTTCAAAATTTAAATTTTAAGCTATCAGGTCATTGAAGCCTGGTTATTAAGCACTTAAATTCTAAATTGAAATACATTATTAAATGCAATGCGCTATATAACTGCTCAGATAGCCAGGAATTGCTTCTTAGACGTTTCTTCTAACTCCCGCAAACTGTTGTGGGAAGGGAACCAATCAAGGGAATCAAGACCACAGGCCAAGATTGCCAATTTAGTATGCCATCGATTAGAGAAGGCTTGGGTCAGCAGGCTCAGCTCCCCAGATTGGCTTTTTATACTCACCACCATCTTGGAAATCTCGATCAACAGTTTAAGTGCCAACCCTTCTTTTATAGCAAATGAAATATATATCCTCTTGCTGGAGTTTCTTTAAAAACACGACATGCATTTTTGCTGGTGGGAACAGATACTGAAACAAGTTGAGTATTGATAAGTTGTAATTCAAGACTATGTTGTAAATATTTTGTTTATTACAAGCGTTTTTTTTTGTCATCAACGAAATAGGATTTTTGTGATTTCGTCCAATTTGAAAAAGTATTTTCTTGCTCATGTAAAGATACTTTTAGCACTGATGTAAATATAAACAACTGTACCTATGTAAATTCTTTAGTACGATACATATTACCAAAAGAATTCTTGAATCTACTATGGTTTACTCGCTTTATAGCTATGCACTTTATAAACTACGACACAACTAATATAACAGTATTTAATGACATCACTGGGTTAAATGTATAGGCTACAGAGAGTGCTCACAAATGATCCAATAAAAAAAAAATTAATAACGTTCTAAATGGGATTTTTAATCATTGAAATTGCTCATTTACATGTTTCATTTAAATAAGCCGGATGCAAAAGTCATTCAACTCCATTTCAATTGTGCTGAAAGCTTTGTGAACTTTTCATCTCTGATTAAGGCAACGGAATTGAAGGAACGGATTAATAATGCTAGAGAGCTATTCTAGACTGGTTTTAGTAAAATAAAAACATATGGAGACATACTTTATAAGAGGCCATTAAAAGAAAGGCTTAGTAGTTTACATTAATTCAACTATGACCAGGGTTCATACTTGTTACATTACCGTGACATGATTTAATTGTAAACATTTTTAATACGCACAGAGTGATAAATGGATAAACGATGTATCCGATATTACTACCAGCTACGATATGATTTTTCATAATATATCCTACTACTAATTACTAATGTTAATTACTAAAGACAAGTCGACTACTCTTTTAGTAGATTATCTTTACATTGCATAGAAAAATACAACATTGGGGTCCCACCAACAACATTCCCTTACTGAATCAAGCATCTATATATAATTATATAATACAGTTTTAAAAATCTTTGTATAACTAAATCTAGAGTTCTACTGGACTAATTTTATTAATTAATGTGTCGTTGAAAGCTTAATTTGTGTAGATCGGGAAATAATTATGAATGTTTCTTTTTGTTATGGTGCATGGTGAATATAAAAAACACACATTTTCATAAGAAATACATAGGTAACGGGGTTTTACACATTTCTTATGCAATTTTTGGATTTGTTCAGTATTTTCAGGAAATGTATGGTATAAACCTTTAGAAAATTCTATTCTTTTGCAAAATATTCCACCCACTTTGGTCAATTTCGCTACCGTTTAAAAGTTATTTGCAAATAAGCTAAGCTACCTCCAAAATTATAGTTGAAAGAAAATACTGAATTAGAGATATTTGTTAAAGTTTGTAACAAAACTTTGTTAAATCTAGACTTTTGCCGGACAGTTTTTGTTAATAATTGGGTCACTGGAAATTATAATTCATGTAAGTTTGAAAATAATAATGAAAGTTTGATTTTATTAAATATTTGTGGTGAAAGAAACAAGAATATATTAAAAAAGGTTTCTTTAAAATGTCTATTTCCGAGTTTCTATTCATAACCAACTTTAGGCTGCCTTTATTAAGTATTTTCAAGAAATTTTTAACAGAAATGTATGGGAAATTGTATTCTCTTTCAGAATATCACCTTATACTTCAGTCTATTTCCTCACCATTTAAAAGCTATTTGCAAAAAAGCTAAGCAACCTCCAAATTTATAGTTGTTAGAAAATGCTAATTAAAGATATTTTTGTTAAGCTTTGTACAACTAAATCTAGACTTTCACTGGACCGATTTTGTTAATCATTGGGTCACTGGAAAACCTAATTCGTTTAAATTTGCAAATAACTATGAACGTTTGATTTTCTTTTTAAATATTTGTGGTGAAAAGAATACACTAAAAACGGGGTTTTTAAGTTTCCTACAATAACTTACGGCAAAAATGTAAGAGCTGATTAGTATATTGTTATATAATTAGGGGTTCTTTGTTCACATGTTGTTGTACACAAGTTGCATTTGTGGTTAAAGAGTGTTCTGTATGTCATGTGTGTGACTCTAAAGTTGTGTGCTTAATATGTACAATTAATATTAGTGAGTAAAGTGGTATTTAATTTTATTAGATACCCTTGTATTTAACGACAATGGGCTTTTTTGCTAGTATTTAATATTTAAATTACAATCCGGCGCGCTTCCAAAAACCTTTTTAATGTATTAATACTTATGACATATTTTAATAATGGGATTTTATTTTCGTAGTAAATCAACTAAGTGAATTATATATTTTTGGCTGTGTTGGTTCCATTAGCGTACATATTGATTAATATATAAATAAATTTAGTACATCGTAGAAGGTAGAAATGTATTAGATTTCCATACCGTGTTAGTGTTTGTACATATTGCGGGTTGATTGTTCAGTAAGCCACCAACATCACGAATATAGAATACAAACACATACGGTTTGTACAGTTTAATTAGTAACATTTTAGATTCTGATTAACTTTTATAACCGTATGTTTTTAACCGTATCCCGAATGTCTCTTAGATATAGCTAAAATCGTTTAAAATCAAGATTTGTTGGACTAAAAGTAATTTTCGGATCGAAACTAAACTTGCAATTCTGTAGCGTAAACCGTAGTCACACCATGAAAACTCTCCTGCAAAGGAATTTTTATCATACGTTATCCTTTAGGAAAAACTAACAATTTAGTAAGAATTTCAATTTAATTAGTCTGGTTTGTAAATGACGGGGTATTCCCTCTACTCGATGAAATTACCAATTATTGATATCTCATCTGACTAAAACATCGATAAAGTGATAAGGCCCATGTAATCTATAGACGGGTGTGCCGGCTTTGTCAATTCCCAATTATATCTATTGCAACATGTATTACTAAAGGGGAGATTAAATGTTGGCAAGGTCATAAACTATTTACAAACCATTTAGACTGTCAATCATCCATTAACAAAACATTTTAATATATAATATAAATGCGTGTTTTATGATTAAAACTACCAAACGA